TTAACTCTGTTTCCCTGGGTCTTTTGCTGTGTTGTACTTTTGTGTCTTATTTTGAAAGAAATGTTTACACGTTACCATAGTGACCAGAGAGCATTAAGGGGCAGAGACGAGGACATTACTCATAGGTCGTGTCCAAATTTATGGGCTGCATCCTACTTAAGGCCTATCCGACCTTCTGAGGACCCGGGCCACGTAGACCGCGAAGGCCGGGTCCTCAGAAGGTCGGATAGGCCGGAAGTAAACGGCTGTGGAATTGGACGTCTAGCCTTCTGATTAGTGTCACCGCTGTCTCGGTGGAGTTTAATAAATTCGGCCGTTGGCTCCTTGCTATCTAAAATATAACAGGACACTGGCGTAAATTCTCGACCATCTCACACTTCTGTTTAATCAGTTTTCCTATTTGACGTTTATTCAGATGTGTGAAAACCAAGGAGGAACCCACCCGGGGGATTAATAAAGTTTTATTTTATCTAATCTAATCTAATAACTTTAATCTCAGCCAAATCGATTTACTCACGAACAAATAAAACACTGAAAAAAGCCCAACAGTAACATTTTTAGGTTGTCTAGGTGACTTAAATATTACGTTTAACCCGAGTAGCGAAAGTCCGCGGTGATCTGAAAATGATGTGCCGGGAGTTGTGCCGTTCTCGGTGGCTTCAGTGACCCTCGAGCTCCCGGCTAGCTATCGAGCTGGTGGGTAACAGACATCTCCAAAAACGTCGAAGCACTTTTGGAAATATGCGATATCTTGATAAACTGAGCAGATATTTGAAGTTTACACACCCACATTCTCGCCTGAAAATATGTTAAAAGTTTATTTTGTGACCCAGAAAGACTAATAAGAGTAATTTTAAAACTTAGTAGTGGCCGCCATTGCCGGAAACTGGAGTTTGGCTGGGCCACGTTATGAATTCTGGGATATGGTGGGCGACAAAGGACACACCCGACCCATCCTTCAAATTCAGGGAAAAGGAGGACGCATTTGTCGGCTGCATTCGGAGGAGTCTACGGCCCTTTCTCAATATGCGTACTTGCGTTCTCGTGTACTCATGATACGTCATCAGTCGGAGACCAAGTACTGTTCCAATTCAAAGTACGCATCAAGCCGAGAATGCGAAAAAGTCCCGGATGTGTTCTCGCTCCGCCTGTTTTATCGAGCATGCATCGGTGGTGACTTGTGTGGACTTGATACAGCTAAATATCTTAGAATGCATTTCGTCCAAAACTCCAACGCGGCAATGGCGGACGAGTGGGGCTAAAAACTTGAATTTGGACAGCCTTCGGCGCATCGCTGTGACGTAATCGGTCTACAAATGCGTAATCAGGAGGATGCAGCCCATGAATTTGGACACGACCTTAATGTTGTTGGCGAATTTTCAGGAGGACACAGATAATAAAGCTACACAATTCGTGTTTATTATTATATTTTAAAAAATACCACAGTTTTTGGCTTGGTCGTATCATTTTATTTTGTTGTATTTATCCGTGACACCTTAAAGGCCGGTCCGTGAAAATGTTGTCAGACATTAAACCGGTCCATGATGCAAAAAAGCTTGGGGACCACTGCCATTCATATCAACAAAGACATTAAACTGGGTATGCTTTTGGACGAGCTGAGCTTAAGAATGATCTCAGTGTCTCAGTCAAATGTGAATGCTATGCTGGTCTGCTGTGGTGAAGAGAAAGAGTGTGAAAACAAAGCTGTCAATTTCCCCTACGCTCACATATGGCAACATGCTGTTGGTAGTGAGTGACCGAAAGAATGAGATTGTATATACAAGCAGCAGAAATTTGCTTCCTTTGCAGAGGTCTGAGCTCTCCACTGCATTAACTGGACCTGCACAAACAACCCAAAAAGGATGGATGGATACAATACAAATACTTGAACAAATAATAACAATTAAACTTACTAAAGCTAAATAATATCTAAGCAAACTGCAGCATACACATTGTAAGTATATAAAATAAGTTTATTTAAAGTTTATTTAAACAGCTGTACACACTTTCATACTACTTATTTGATTTATTAAGAACACATAATTATAATTTTGAGTTTCGCTTGGCTTTAGGTAAATAACTTTATTTTGATAGTTCCTGTTTAAACTGAATTTGCGTAAACATTTTCATCATTTACAGAAACTTGTGAAGTGGCTGCAGCAGCAGTCAAATGCTGTGGCTTCAGAAAAAGATTAACAATTTTTTTCAGTTGTAATTTTCATAGCAGCTATCTCCCTATCCTTATGTCTTTGTATAAAACTATGATAGTGTACTCAAAGAAAACGTGTCAGTGTGAGAAATGGTGTTGTAAAACTTTAGTCTCTGTTTCCTGATATGCTCCTCAGTCCACAGCTGAGTATATAAGTTACTTTTTTTTTAATATATACAGCAGCATAAAAGGGTCCTCTGACCACCACCAGTAGGCAACGGGTGAAGTGTCTTGCCCAAGAACACAACGACCAAGACTGTCCGAGCCGGGGCTCGAACCAGCAACCTTCCGATTACAAGGCGAACTCCCAACTCTTGAGCCACGATTGCCCCATACAATGCAATATTATTTATTACAACTGACTGTTGTCTGCGCTTATGCGCCATGTGGCAGTTCAGAGTACCCAGCCTTCTTGGAGTCCCTGGGTGGGGTGCTGGAGGATGCTCCGCCTGGGAACTCTGTTGTCCTAATGGGAGACTTCAATGTTCATGTGGGCAATGTCAGTGAGACCTGGAGGGGCGTGATTGGGAGGAACGGCCTCCTGGATCTGAACCCGAGTGGTGTTTTGTTATTGGACTTCTGTGCAAACAGTATGGCCATAACGAACAGCATAACGAATGTTTGAACATAAGAGTGTCTATAAGTGCACGTGGCACCAGGACGCTCTAGGCCGCAGGTCGATGATCAATTTTGTAATTGTATCACCATATCGCTAAGCAAAGGTCCCAGTGTCAAGAGATATATTCTAAAACACTTCTTCAGCTGAGAATCAGAGAGGAGAAACACAAAGTTTTACTTGTTGCTTAGCAAGGGCAGCTCTGAGCTCTCGCACGAGAGTGAGGGCTCAGGGACTCGCCGCTCTGAGACTGCCCTGGTCTCTATTTATACATCAGTGGGTGTTTGTTAGTGGTGTGCGGATCGATATTGAAATATCGATTGTTCCGATCCCAGTAATTTATGTTCTAGAATCGATTCTCATATTAAAATATCGATATTTTAGTACTTTGGGTAAATTTGTAGTTTTTCATTAACAGGAACACAGTGGAAAGAAACTATATCATTCGGATCATCTAAAATTGGAAGAAACTACTTCCTCTTATGCCTTTCATTGTCATATGCGAAATACGGCTGTATAAATGTGTTGCAGCCCCTGGCCAGTGTTGCCAACTCCTCAGTAAGGAAAATCGCTATTGGCTATGCTAAAAGTCTCTAGAAGTTGCTAAACGACATCATCGCCTAATTTGCATAATTGGTCATGCTAATATCATTGTAACCCACGTTGTAGGAGAGAAAAGAAGAAGAGACATAAAGTGAGTTAAAAAAAAACGTCCTAAATGCATTTATAATTTATTTAGAATTACAAATTATTATTATTATTATTTTTTAGCGATTATCGTTTTTTGTAGTAGTTTTAAACCTTGTGATCCACAAAACAACATAACAGTAAAAGGAGAACTGATTGCGTTACAGTCAGTGCGGGAGCAGAGGCTTCACTTATACGCGATTCATTTGCAGTTTGGACGCATAGGTGGGAACATCTCCTGCCCTGATAGCAGCTGGGGGAGGACTATCCTCTGCCCGTGAGCGCTTTGGCACGGGCGAGGTGCCCACAGCAGCACCCGCTGCTTGTTGAGAAGAGCAATATGCGCTTTCACGTCAAAAAGTTGTCGTGAATAAGTCTCCAATAACACCAGAAAAAGTCACTAGATTTGTCGCTAGTCGCTAGTCAATTATGCAAATTAGGCGATGATGTCGTTTAGCAACTTCTAGAGACTTTTAGCATAGCCAATAGCAATTTTCCTTACTGAGGAGTTGGCAACACTGGCCAGGGGCTGCAACACATTTATACAGCCGTATTTCGCATATGACAATGAAAGGCATAAGAGGAAGTAGTTTCTTCCAATTTAGATGATCCGAATGATATAGTTTCTTTCCACTGTGTTCCTGTTAATGAAAAACTACAAATTTACCCCAAAGTACTAAAATATCGATATTTTAATATGAGAATCGATTCTAGAACATAAATTCCTGGGATCGGAACAATCGATATTTCAATATCGATCCGCACACCACTAACAAACACGTTTATTAACTTACCGAAAAAGTGCAGCAGGGCCTCGGGTCCTTCTGTCGGTCACTTTACTAAAACACTCGGTCGTGTTTTAGCGTAAACGCTCGCCCTCGACTCAGAGCCTACGCTCTATCTGCTATTCCCGAACAGAGATACAGTTTCTCTGTTCGGGAATAGCAGAGTTTCTCCGTGACTGCAGCTGCCATTCAAAGCTATTATGATGACGTTTCCACCCCTATTTAACATCACCGCGGTTGGAATTAGAATCAAACTTATGGGAGAGGAGACCCCTTGAACATCAATCAGCGTGATGAGAACTATTGATAACAAAAGAAAGAATCTTTGGAAAAAAATTATCTGAGGAGAATAGGTTTATTTTAGTCTGACCCCAGTCCCATCTGTTAACATGGAGGAGGCGGGGTTTATGACCTATACTGCAGCCAGACACCAGGGGGCGATAGAGACGTTTTGGCTTCATTTTTGGGGAGCTGTCGCGTCGTCCATGTTTTATACAGTCATTGTTAGAAACCTGCAGTCAGCTGCGACTGAAGAAGTCACTTGGATTAGTGACGAAACGTTTCTCCCACAAAACGCTACGTCCAGATGAACAGAATCAACTTTTGGAGAGTAAGTTTAGAAAGATTTGGATGTAGCAATTTTGCTAGCTTATCTGGTGTGGCTTAGCAACCGGCAAATTAAGTTCTGGTTTGAATTAGTTTCTTATAAAAATCACACACATTTTGCCCCCATAGTAACGGGTCACATTCTGTATAGACGATCTTTGATTGCGTGATTGCACCAGAAGGCAGACGTCTGTTGATAGGAGGAAGGACGGGACTGATCGGTCGGCGGGCAGGTCGGTGAGAAAACGGCGGACCGTCATGGACAGGACGGCCGTGGTGAAGGTCGGAGCCGCGGCCAGCGCCAGTGTGTGTGCTTTGTTCGGCGGCGTGGTTCTTGCCCAGTACATCGTCGCCAAAAAGAAGCGAGCTGGAAAGAAAACTAGGATCATAGAAATGGTTAGTACAAGTAGACAATTTAGTTTTATCAAGAGCGGTAAGAAACAGGAAGGGAAGGAGCAAGGGCTTCAAAGTAAAGGTGCACTTTTTTCATAATAGCTATTCCGTCTTTATTCCAAGACGAGCGAGTTGTTTAATGTGTTTATGTAGTAAAAAAAAACAACTTGTTATGACATTGTATTTTGTCCACTGAAACACTCACAGGAGGTTGGAGCATGCGTTCAGAAATTTTCGGCCGGAAATGGGACGCTCTGCTCTGTTTTCTTGACATTAATGGGCCTACACGATGCTGTACGCGTGCGCGACAGTTCCTTAAAACAGCAGCTGTTTAGAGGTCACCGGGCAGCTTTTCTCCCACAGAAAGAGCAGGAGCCACTTTTATGCAGTGACAGCTGAGCCTCTGTGTCAGTGATGCTCTGCAGCTCTTTCAACATTAGAAAAATGCTGAGTGCTACTGTCTACTACAGGTTATGCAATCATCAGGAGTGCAGGTAGGACTCTGGGTCCAGCTCTCTAACCATTCTAGCAGGAATCAGAATGGTCTGCTAAAACATTAACAGTTGACACAAAAATGAAGGTAAGAAATGTGCGGGGAAAAGTCATATGCCTGTGTTGTTAAAAAGGTGGGAAACAGCAGCACGTAACTTTGTTGTTATGTAAGAGCCATTATATAAAACAAACATATATATAATTTAGATTTTTCTTTTAGTTTGTTCACACTGAGGTATGTACATCTTTTATTTTAGGAAAAAAAAACATGCCATCCAAAGTTGGTGTCAACCACCAAAGAACTTTTAGATTGCCTTCCAAAACTAAACAGCAATCTAATAAAACATTTTTCAAATCACCTCCTGAAAGACTTCCTAAAAAATAATACTGAGGCAGGGAAAATCCTGGGTATGCAGTATGCTGTCCAACATTAGGAAAACCTTTATCACACACAACATATTTCTCTTTCATTTTTTTTTAAATATATCTTTACCTTTAACTGTGTTTTTATAATGTATTCTACAGATACATAGTTTGACATTTGGTAGTTGGTGCAGCAAAGAATGTGAGATTTGCAATATTTTGTCATTGAAAAATACATATTAAACAAGCTTTCATGCGAGATTATATCCAGAAGTACTGTAATATGTAATATAACACCAACTGAGCCATTATTTTGTATTAGTCAAAGCTGTTTATATACAGCTTCTATCCAAAACATTCACACACTTATAACCTAATTTACTAGAAAGACTCCCCTGGAATTCAGTTGGCACATTCACATTCTGAAGTGGCTGCAGCAGCAGTCAAATGCTTTGGCTCCAGATAAAGATTTACATTTTTGCTGATAGTAATTTTCATAGCAGGTATCCTCCTGTCATTGAGTCATAGTTCCTTTTTATGTGCTTTGTCTTGCAACAATGGCCTGTCTGCTTTGTATGAAGCTCTCATAGTGTACTGAAGAAAAACGTGTCAATGGCCAGTTTAATGATCATTAATATGTAAATTGTCATGACCGTTGATCATCTGCCTCCATAATGACATCTCTCACCTTCTCAACGAAATTCAAAGTGTTCTGGATGTTGTGTTTAGAGCTGCCTAAACACCACATCGAATTAAAGATCGAAGCCAGAAACTTTGAGATGTTATAGGAGACTGAGTTGCTCATACAGACAATTGGTCTTAAAGGTACTAGAGATGGACCGATCCGATATTACGTATCGTATCGGTCCGATACTGACCTAAATTACTGGATCGGATATCGGAGAAAAATAAAAAATGTAATCCGATCCATTAAATATCAAAAAAGCACCTCACAAAACTTGCGACATGGCTTAACTCAGCTCATAACCGGAGCAGTCGGAGCAGTATGTGTCACGTGATAGAGCAGCTGTGGCGTGCCCTATCGGTGGTCTGGTTGAGTATTTGTAGCCTCGCTACCAAACCGGCATTTCATCTCTGAGGAAGTTCCCCCAGAGAGAAGTAAAGCAAGTGTGGCAGTTCATCTCTGAATGTTTGTAAAGCATTCCCGCGTTAAGCTTAACAACCGATATATGGAGCGACTGCCTCTTCTCTCTCCCTCCCTCTCCTAAATAATTGATTTCTGTGCATTTTTTTTCACACTGCATCAAATTAAAGTTGATTACGTCGATTAAGCATCATGAGGTGGAGGGTGGTTCCCTATTTTTTGCTGGGAGTTTGCAACCCTATTAGTTAGGTTGCTTACTCTTTAAAATACCAGAATAAGGAGGATGGAGTAGGTTTAAGTTTATTAGATTGATCAGTATTGCTGAATTGTGAAATATTTTGGGTGCAGTGTATTTTTTGCATACAGGTATAACAGAATAGCTTTAGTGTTTTTTTTTTTTTTTGTTTTTTTGTTTTTTGTTTTTTAACTTGAGTTTGAACCTATACAAAATGCAGCAAGATATTAAAAAAACAGTTTTATTGGTTAAAAACACACTATATTGGATTCATATCGATATCGACAGATATCCAAATTTATGATATTGGTATCGGTATCTGACATAAAAAAGTGGTATGGTGTGCACCTACCCTTGTCTGCCGGAAGGATGATAATTTTTTTGCAATTACTAAGTGATGGGAGTGCCTTCCTCTCCTCCATGCTGATGTTGGAAACTGGGGGCTTTGCATTGCTGAGACAGGCCAAAACTTTTGTCCGCAGTTACTCTACTTCCACATCTGCATTGTTGTTGTTTCAAATTGCTGATTCTGTGGCTGTAATCAGTTCCACTAGTGGGATTTGCCTCCGTGTCATAGCAAAGTACATCCCTTTTGCAAGGATATTTTTCTCTGTTTGAGTGAGTTGTCTGTCAGACCTTTTTGGTCTTACAATAACATGTGCAGACAAAAACTAGAGGCAGACAGACTGGCATGACCATAAATGATAGAAAACTGCAGTTTTCTATCTAATGAATCAAGTGCACATAAATTAATTCAGTAGCACGATTATTTATTTTTTCAACATGGCTTCTTTGGTGGGTGTTCCATCTCTGAGGAGAAACCCTGTTAATGTTGACATTAAAAGTCCAGTAAGTTCTTTGTAGCACGTGCAAATATATAATTGTCCAACATTAAGAAAACCTTTGGCGCACACAGCAGATGTGTCTTTGACTTTTTCTCAAGAAATCTTTAATCATAACTGCAAAAGAGAGATACGAGATTGAATGTATATATTTTGTTGCATTTGCTGTGCTAGTCAAAGCTGTTTGTATGCAGTTTCTAGCTAAACATATATGCACAGCCAGTTTACTGGAAAAACTGTTAGCTGAATTCTGCAGGAACATCTCCCATTTTATTTGTTTGTGGAAACTTGAAAAGTGGCTGAAAGAGCAGTCAAATGCTGTGGCTGCAGATAAAGATTTACAGTTTTGCCAGTTGTAATTTTCATAGCAAATATCCTCTTGCCATCATGTCATAATTGCTCTTTTATTTACTTTGTCTTGCGACAGCGGTCTGTCTAATTTGTTTAAAACTCTGATAGTGTACTGAAGAAAAACGTTTCCATTTGAGAAATGGTGTCCAAAAACTTTAATTTCTCTTTGCTGATATGCTCCTCATTTCACAGGTTTGAATTTATTCTTTTCATTGTTCCAGTTTGTTCCTTGACTGCTGTACGCCTGTGTGGAAATGTCAGTTTGGGAAATTAAATCTGTTAAATGCATCATAGTAATCTGATGTTATAGAATGAACATAAATGAGAGCTATCAGTGTTCATCCCTGACAGGATAGTACTAGATGAGACATGAAACTGAGTAGTTGTTAATGCATCTGGGAATTGAGTTTTCGTAGTGTTGTCCTCAGTGGTATCAAGTGAGTATCTCGTTAATATTTACTGACTTTAGCATAAATATGTGTTGTATTAACAGACAGCAGAAGTTTAGATCTGATTTTAAGTTACACTATAGACATCTTAGATTTTGTAAAAAAAAAAAGAAAAGAAAGTTAGTCCTTTTGTCCATAGGCTTTCACTGTTTACATTGAAGCGGATAGTGATGTCAGAACCCTGCTCTGAGAGAATTATATATTATGTTGAACCTTTTCAATTTGCAACTATGGAGGAAAACATCCCATGTAAATACAATGAAAACAATTATGGAGGCAAGAGTGCGACAGAAGCAGAGTGTTATCTGTAAAGAGCTCTTCTCTCTGTCATCGACTGTTAGAAGTACTGTATTTTTATGTGAGCATTTATTTGCTTTTCCAGTTGACTAATTGCATTACTAAATGCAGAGGGAGAAACGTGCAGTCTTTTGGAAGTTGCCTTGTTGTCTGTTCTCCTCTTTTTATCTACATGATGATACTGATTGCACTTACTGTGTTGTCTTAATGGCCTTGATAGTTGATTATATGAACAAAACATTTAAATGAATGACAGTCATTTCTAGGTTTCTAACATCATATTCAGCAGGCATTTGTAGCTGTGTGTATATGTTTCCAAGTGCTGCAGTTTGCTGCACTTTATGGAACTCTGATTGTAGAACCTTTCATGTTGCAAATGTAGTAAAAAAGAGGAGTTTGAGGCAAGTGGTGTTTATTTAGTTGCAATTTGCACTGTCACCGCTGGATGCCACCAAAACTTACACACTGGTCTTTTAGGTGAAGGAGCTTGCTGGACTGTGTTTAACTGTTGTGACCACTAGAGAGCACAACAGTGTAAATTTTCCCTTCTCCATCTCTGCCAAACCTTACTGTATATATGTATATATGCTAGGATTTTAAAAAAAACAACAAAAAAACTCTATAATGTAGCTCTGCAGAGAAAAATGTGAACAAAACAACTGAACAACTTAGTGTTTGGAAATATATAGGCTTTAATGATGAATACACTGTTGTAAAGAAAATGTAACTCAAGTGACTGGCTGAATTGGGTATACTTTTAACAAGACAACCTATACAAAAAGCTGAACATGCTACAGCTGGTTGTTAGCAGAGCGTTGAAGGGTTTATAAATATATAATGTGTTATACAGGTGTTACTATTATGTGTTA